GGAGTTTTATATCGGAAAAATATTATAAACTCAACATCCTGCTCTTGCAAGATGTGTCCATGCTCATATTCCATTGCAAAAAATACGACAAAGTGCACACGCGCGCGGCGGCCGCGCGATCATGGCCAACTCCTTTGGACATTTAGCACTGGTGTTATGCGACAGCCACGCTAGAGGCTGCGGTTATCCAGATGTTGTGGAACTCGCCTTTGTGCTAATCTATGTTATGCTGGCATAGCATACGAGAGGCGTTGCATAGCAAAGCACGTTGAGGTCGGGCGAACCCTAGAGTGCGCCCGACCCGACCCGACCCGCTTGTTAGGGTTCACGCGTGTCAAGTGTACACGCACCATACTTTAATGTCCCGCCCGCCCGACCCGACCCGCCCTTCAGGGTCCGACCCGATGCTTCGCTTTGCTTTGCTCTGCTATGCTACACTATAGGTTTCCCACTTTGTGGGGAACCTATGCTTTGCCATGCTCTGCTATGTTGTGCTATGCTATGCAATGCCATGCTATGCTATATGTGTTTTGGGGGAACCTATGCTTTGCCATGCTTTGCTAAGCAATGCTATGCCATGCTATGCTATGCTACAGCCACGTTATGACATGATAGAAGATATGATCTTTATGGGGGGGTGGAGATGCGGGGGGGAATGATGGCGACCGCAGGTGGGTTCCGTTGAAGGTTGTAATCGTGGCCAAGCCCTGTTAGACCCTAAACCCTAAACCTTAAATCTCTAATCTCTATTATTATTAAACCCTAAATCCTTCAAAACCGGTCGCTATGCAAACCCGCCTCCATCCTATGCAAAAAACACCATTTCCTGATCATGCGCTCTGAAAACGATGTTTTTTACAATGGATCGTGACCGGGTCTATCCGCGGGCCGGGCTGATCCCTGTCAAAAAACACTATATCCTGATCATGCGCATCGAATTTATCAGAATCCTATGTTTTTTTCATACGTTTCGTGCCCAACCCGGGTCGCGGGCGTGGATGCGTACCGGAGCTTATCCCTGTCAAAAAACACCATATCCTCGCAACTGCGTTCTTCTGATTCCCACTTTACCTATGAAAAAACACCATATCCTTATAATCGCGCGCTTCTCAGGGTTACTTTCTTCTGAACAGAATCCATGCTATGCCATTCTATGCTACACCATAGGTTCCCGACTTTGTGGTGAACCGATGCTGGGCCATGCTGTGCTATGCTTCGCTTTGCTATGCTCTGCTATGCTACACTATAGGTTTCCCACTTTGTGGGGAACCTATGCTTTGCCATGCTCTGCTATGTTGTGCTATGCTATGCAATGCCATGCTACACTATATGTGTTTTGGGGGAACCTATGCTTTGCCATGCTTTGCTAAGCAATGCTATACCATGCTATGCTATGCTACAGCCACGCTATGACATGATAGAAGATATGATCTTTATGGGGGGGTGGAGATGCGGGGGGAATGATGGCGACCGCAGGTGGGTTCCGTTGAAGGTTGTAATCGTGGCCAAGCCTGTTAGACCCTAAACCCTAAACCCTAAACCCTAAACCCAAAGCCCTAACCCCTAACCCTAACCCTACACCCTAAACCTCGCTCGCCTCGCCCCGGACCCCTGCGGAAAGGGGGGGAGGGGGGTGGGGGGTTCCGCCCCCCCCCCCCCTTCAAGGGGAGGGGGGGGGAGGGGTTCCGAACCCCCCCCCCCCCTTTCAAAGGGGGGGGGGGAGGGTTCGAACCCCCCCCCCTGAAGGGGGGGAGGGGGGGGGGGTCCCTGGAGCACCCCCCCCTTTAAAGGCCAAGGTGATCCACTGGCGCTCTTTCCCCGTTGAGGGCTGCCCCCGGCGGCCGAAAAGAACAGCAGACGAGCCGCTCCATGTTTTCTGATCCTCGGATTTTATTTTTTTTCCACCCCAGTTCTCGCTGAGTTCTTTAGGTTACTTGCGGGTAGGGTGGGTGAGGGCGACCTCACGCAGTAGACTTGGCAACATTTTGTCAAACACGCCTGTTGCCAGAAAGAGTGAGACAGCACACCTTCAACAGACAAAAGAGAAAGGGAGGCAATTACTCGTGATGTTTTCTGAACCTCGGATTGATGGGTCTCCTTCCCGCCTCCCGCGTGATGGTTGGGGGTCTGGGCGGTGCACTTCGCGGGGAGGGATACGAGTTTCACAGCTCGCCCCCGGAGCAGCTGGCCGGTCTCGGGAAGACGCCCACCCTCCGGTCAGGCCCAGCTCCGCAGTCCCTGCCCCGAGTGTTCGCTACGAGCTCTCGGAGCTTTCGGTCTCCGACTCACCCCCCGCGTCCCCGAACCTGTCCTCAGCCTCCATTCCCACTCCTCCCGCTGTCACTGTGCTGCTGACTTTGGCTTATCTTCGTCGCTGCCACTCTTCCTCTCTATTCCTCCTCCTTCTCCTCCTTTCCTCATCATTGTCCTCCTGCGCTGCACTTCATCCTCTAAGATCCTGTCAAAAGCACGGCTGAAGAATCCAAACAGGTCGCTAGAGGCGGGGCGAACACTATTGCCAGTCGTGGCGTAGCACCAGAAAGGAAGGGCGGAGCGAGATGGGAAAGAGAGGGGAGGAAGACAAAGGAGCAGGCACAGGAGGCGGATGAGGCTCAGAGGCAGAGGAAGGGGAGCAGGAGGATCCGCGGGAGGCGTGAAAAGCAAAGAGACGGACGGGCAAGAGGAGGAAGATATAGAGGGAGAGACGCATAAACACAATCGTTCAACGATCGGCGCGGACTTCTTGGATCTCCGCTGGACCACCCTCCCTGGCGCGCAGAGCGCACCAGGTGGCGTCGCCGGAGTCGCCGCCAGGGGGTCCAACGCCGAACCAAGACCGCACAGACCTCGGAAACATTGCGTGTATGTTTGGCGGTGCGCACAAAGGGTTGGAGGGAGGGGGGGGCTTCTGAGCAGGAGGCTGCTTCTGAAGGCGCCGGCCCTACATCTATAGATAAGGCCCTCGACTTCTAAGAAGCAGGGGTGCTTCTAAGAAGCCCTCCCCCCCCCAACCCCCCTCAGCGCGTGGCTGATATGTTGTTGATTAAACTGTTCTTCGGAGTGAAGAACCAGAGACTCCCGGCGCGCAGTGGGGGGCAGGGGGAGGGGGGAAGGCTTATCAGAAAGAGGCCGCCTCTCAGAAGGCGCCGGCCTTGCATATGTGTATATATATGTATGAGATCGCACCTGCCTTGTGAGAAGCGTGGCTTCAGAGAGGCCAGCGAGGACGAGGAGGGGCCACAAGGGCGCAGCCCTTCCCTGATCATGGGGACACCACCAGGGCACAGATACCGGTACCCCCCGGACCTCTCCTGGGGTGCGCTCTGACCGGGATTTCGAGGCGAACCCAGCGGTGGCAGCGAGGACCTCACAGGAGGCCCAGAAAGGGGAAAACGGGCGAAGGGTAGCGGTATAGGGTACCTTTTCCTCCTCTGAGATCGGCGGCGCTCGCGTCAAGACAGGCGGGGCTGGCGCGAGGATCTTGAAGTTCCACAGCACGGCGAGCTCCGCCGGCTGTCGGGGACCCCCGGCCGGCGGCGGGGGCCGAAGGGGGCGCCCAGGGCTCCGAGAGGTGGGCCGGGAGAGGGGCAGGGACACGGGCAGGAGTGAAGGGGCCCGGGGACACACAAATAAGTACACACAAATGACAAGACTCCCCAGATGTTCCCATATTTCTGTGTTTTTGTCTTCCCCCCACTTCCCATATTTTCCCTCCTTTTCCGGGGGATCGACGATTAATTGTGTCTATGTTTTTTCCCCTCCTGAAGGAGGGGGTGTCCGAAGAGCAGGGGAGGGCGACGGAGGGAGGGAAGGGATCGAATCGAGTCGATCTCGTGGGGCTCTGTAGGCTAGCCAGAGGGGTAGGACGAGGGGGGACGAGGAAGGACAGAGGGAAGGGGAGGAGGGGCTCCTGATCCTCCCAAGCTTCCTCCTCCGCCCCCCCATCGGATCCCCAGTATCACCACTTCCAATTTGTTCCCCCTCGTGCACCTGCCCCATGCTCTTCGTACTCATCTTCAGCGGAGAAGTAGTCCGAATACGCGCCAAGAGGGCCCCAAGGAGCCCCCGCGACGGTCCAAGAGGTCCGAGAGTCGGCCCAGGAGCGCCCCAAGATGCCCAAGATGGCTCAGGAAGGCCCGAGAGGCCCCCAAGACGCCCTGAGAGGGCTCCAAGAGGGCCCCCCCAGAGGCCCCGAAAAGGCCAAAATCATTGATTCGCCGTAGGTGTTGGACGGATTGTGGTGCTGCCGCCATTTCGCATGTCCGAATGGCCCTGACGACCCAAAGAGGCCCCCGAGATCGCCGCAAGACGGCCAAGAGGCTCCGAAGAGAGGCCCCGGACGGCCTAAGAGGATCTAAAGACATCCCTAGAAATAACCAGCACGCCCTACGGCCTCGAGAAGGGCCCCAGAGGGGAAACACGAACCGAAATGACGAGCCCTCCGGCCCAACATGATCCCGAGACCGCCAGCAGCCCCCCCCTTCGAAAAGCTCCAGGATGCCTCCAACAAGCACAACTCAGGGCCCAGAGGTCCCCCAGAGGCCCCCCAGAGGCCCCCGAGAAGCCCCCAAGAGACACCACGAAACCACTTCTCAGAGGCTTCCGAGAGGCCTCGCAAGATCCCCACAAGCATCCAACAGGTACCCAGCCTATAACCAAGGCACGGTAGCGGATAACCATGATTCCATCTATGGATTCCTCTTTCTTTCTCCCTTTCTCTCTCTCTCTCTTTCCCTGGCTCTCTCCCTCTCTCTCTCTCTATATATCAATTAAACCATATATAAGCATGTGCATATACACATACATGCATGCATGCATACATACATACATCCATGCATACGTACATACATACATGCATGTATGCATGTAAATACACATGCATACATGCATGCATGCATGCATGCATACATGCATGCATACACACACACGCACACGTCTACATACAAACATACGTACGTGCATGCATGCATGCATACATGCATACATACATACAAACACGCATACCTAAACATACACGTACATACATACATGCATACATACATACGTGCATGCATACATACATATATATATATATATACATATACACATACATACATACATACATACATGCATACATACATGCATGCATGCATGCATGCATACATGCATGCATACATACATACATATGTACGTACGTACGTATACACATAAATACAAGCATACAAACATACAAACATACTAACATACATACATACAGACACACTTACATACACACATACACACATACATACACTCATGCATAATTGCATACATATACACATACAAACACACATACATGCATGCATGCGTGCATGCATGAACGTATACCTACATTCATACATGCATGTATACATTTATACACTCATACATACATACACGCATGCATGCATCCACACACCTACATGCATACATGCACTTTGTGGGCCCTGGAAACGGCAAGGCCGTTTTTTCACCGTTTCCAGAAGAATGTCACTTGAAAATGGAAACGGCAAAAAAACGGCGACCGGAAACGGCAACAAAACGGCTCCAGGATTGGAACCGGAGCCGGAACCGGTCAAAAAACGGCGACGGAACTTGTAAAAAAACGGCGTCCGAACCGGCAAACAAAACGGCAAAACGGAACCGGTAAAAAAACGGCCCTGTCGTTTCCAGGGCCCACTAAGTACATGCATGCATACATTCATGCATGCATACATACAAACTTGCATACATAGCAATATACATACATCTACGCATACACGTATATAGATACACAGTTCATACGTACATACGTGCATACATGCAGACACACATACATCCATACATGTGCACATGTGTATAGATATAGAGAGATATAGGCTGTCCAATTTCTCTATTATCTAAGTTTATCTCAATGTATCCCTTTCTCTCTCTCTCTGTCTCTCTCTCTCTTTCTCTGTCGCTCGCTCTGTCGCCCTCCCTCTCACCCGCCCCCCGATTCGATCCTTCCCCTTGTCTGAGCAACTCCTCAGCGAAGCCACCTCGCACCCACCCGTCCAGCCTGCAGGAAACCAAGAATGACGTACTGGAAATTGTTGTCCAGGCAGTAGAGCCTCCGCCGTGCCACCCGAGACTCAGCCACCCCTCTCCGTCCCCCTTTGCCTCTCCCCCCTTCTCCCCTCCTCTAACGCATTCCTTCTCCTCATCCTTCTCCTCCCCCTCCCCCTCCTCCTCCTCTGCTTCCTTCCACTCCTTCTCCTGCTCTTGCTCCAGCATCATCCTCCTCGTCGCCCTCCTCCGCTTCATCCTCTGAATTCCTCCACACTCCCCCTGCGTCGTCGTCGTGATCCTCCTCCCTATCCTCATCCTCCTACTCCTCCTCCGCAAGCCCCTGTCCTCCCCCCTACCTTCCCCCCATTATCCGAATAAGAACGAGAACACGATGCGAACAGCATGTGCACTGACAACAGCAACAGCAACGACGGACACAACCACCAAGGAGACTTTTCACTACGATATAAGGAACGCGTAACGTACGAATCACGCCGTGCCGATGTGCAACAACAACAGCGACAGCGACAGCGACACACACACACGGCTACGATTACAACAAGATCCCTCGAGATCCCTCGGGCAAGCAAGCATCGAAGACGCCAATGAAACATCGAGAGATGGGGGAGGGCGCTGCGGTCAGACTCTTCGTGGGACTGGGAAGGGGCTGGGAAAAAGACCATCCCTCCCATGTCTTCCCCTCTCTCCTCCTTTCCCCGGAATCCGCCATTCCGCCTCCTCCTCCGTATCCCCCCCCTCCCCCCCTGCACACCCCCGGGAGGATGGGAACATCAACCCGCCAGCGATCTGCCGGCACAGAAGGGCGACCAGGGGGAGGGGAAAAAAAGGAAGGGGGGTGGAGGGCGGTGGGGGGGGGGGCGGAGGTCCCCTGCCTCTCTTACCCGCATCCTTATCTTACAAGTGTTCATGCTCCTCACCGCCCTCTTCCCCGATCTCCGTCCTCGTGCACACACATCAGCAATCACAAAGACACACACACACGCACGCAGTGTGAGTATGCAGACAGAAAGACAGCGTAAACCCAGCCTGGCAAACAACGAAACGAAGAGGGTGGACTTGAATACACGTATGAGAAGCCATATGACAAAATCGAACAATCAGTCGAGCCCGCCGCAAGCGCATCACCTCCAGGTTCCGATGTGTGACCCAGCAAAGCAATACCAATGCTCAGCCAGAATACGCCGAGCTGGATACAGGCGCGCGTCAATGATGTTTGACTGGAAGCGAAGCTTGTGGCAGCAAGCGCTCAGACGTGACCTGCGGCTTCATTGAGATTGAGGTGGCCCAGTGGGGTCGTTATCCCCCACCTACGCCCTTTGTCAAACAGCTACCGCTGCACGGTGCAATGCTGCCAGAAGCGGCGTGCGGCCGCGGGATGCGTGCGAAGAGGCGCATGCAGAGGACGCGTGGGTGGACAGTCATAGGAGAACTATCACTGAGTATCGTTTGACCGATCCCCATCCCCACCAGCGTGACCTTTGCCCCACTGGCCGACTTGCCCCCCAGGTGGGGATACGTGCCGTTCTCTTCAGGCTTCGCGGGACTCTGTCCCCCCTGGGAGGGTGGGTTGGTGGTGCCGAGATACCATGGCCTTGTGGGGATAGGGATCGGTTGGACGACGCTGAACCTAGAAGAACAAACAACGGGGTAAACGTAAACTGTCGGAGGTTCTCGCGGATTTCTTCTGCGCTGGACCCCCCTCCAAGGCGCGCGGAGCGCCCCAGGGGCGGCGCCTGAGGCGCCGCCGGGGGGTTCCAGAACAGACGCCAAGCATCCGCGCGGAGCTCCGAAAAAAAAGCTGTTTCTGTTTCTCTTCGAAAGGCGAGGTCGGTCGAACATGCGGGGCCCAAATAAATATACCACCATCACCTCCCTCACCCCCTCCGACGAATGTGTGCGGCGCTAAGGCGAGAGTCACATTTTGAAAATGAAACGCCCTCCATCCATGTGATTGTTACAATGTTTCGCGATACATGGGCACGGCAACAAAGCGATCGCTACATATTGGAAACCGCCCGCCCTTTCTCCGTGAACCTCTGCACATGTTTGAGACGAATGTGCGCGGCGCTAAGCCGAGAACCACATGGTGAAAACGACCGGCCCTCCTTGTGTGAAATCGCTGCAAGTCCCAAGCTTCAGTATCAAACACAGGCGAAACGCGCAGCCCGCCCTACCGACACGTCTGCGGGTGCGACAGGGAGGGGTTATGTATAAAGGAAAGGGATGGAGGAGGAGCAGGAGCGCACGTACCCTATGGAGGAGGAGGGGGAGGAGGAGGAGGAAAGGGAAAAGGAGCAGGAGAAGGAGAAGGAAAAGGAGGAGGAGGACGGTGGAGGAGGACGGGGGAGGAGAATGAGGATGAGGAGGGGCTTTATCGCTTCCTTCCTGTCTCGAGGGAGAGGGATTGATGCCAAGAGGTCCAAGGCTCTGAAATTGGGGCTGCCAATTCTTGTTGCTGTTTTCGGCTTCTGCGATTTCGCCCAGTCCCGGACCCGGGACTGGGCGATTTTGCCTAGTCCCGGGCCCCAGGACTATCACAGATCGATCCGGCTCGGAAAATTTAGCAGAACGATGAGGTCTATGGTCGGGGCTCAAGAGACGAGAGTCAATGCAAACGGGGGTCAGTCAGAGCGCCAGATCTTGCAGGATCCTGCGCAGCCAAGGCTACATTGGCCCAGCTTCGGGTGCAGAATTCTGCAGGATCCTGCAAGTCCTGACTGACCCGGGTCTGGATTGACCAGGGTCAGTGGATCCCCGATATGGCTCCAGTCGCGATTTCTGAACACAATCTATAATGCAATGTTTGTTCGTAACCTCTGTTCTAAGGGTGGGGCGAAAACCCGGGACTTTGGGATCGCGGACTGGAAACATGGTGCCCTTGCGGCAGAATATCCTGAGCAGTTTTGCACGTTCACGATGGTGGCAACGATCGGAGGTCACGTTAATCAGGGTGCCACGATAGGGGGGATCGGGACGGGGATGTGAATTCAATGTTTGAGATGGTAGGGGTAGGAAATTCGTGCGTAGGATATACACATACGGCTAGGACATGCAGGGAGGGATGGAAATAGACGGCTGGGAGATACACGGTTGGAATACAATTGGGAGATGGTAGGGTTAGGGGTGATACACATACACGGCTAGGAAATGCAAATTTTCTCGTGCGTGGTAATGGGCGGGTGGACTGTGGCGCTGGGCGCGGTCGTGGGGCCCTCCGTCTCTACACGTCCACTGGCTGCCCCCCTCCGCCTCCCCACTCTCGACCGCCGCTTTCCTGCCCCATCCTTGGCGTGTGCCGTGTCGCGATCCAAGGTTTCCACATCTGCGCTGCGTAGAGGAAAGAGAACTATGCACATACACCGATTCTGGCCAGGACCATCCTGAGCCCAGGATCGGTGCAGACGCCCTCTTACCTTGGCCAGGAAGGTATATGCACCGATCCTGGGTCAAGGATGGGCGTTGTCAAGATCGGTGCATGTGCATAGTTCTCTTCGCCCGACTGTACACGTGGTCCGGCAAATACGTTCAAGGATGCCACGCTCTGAACGTGCTCCCTCTCTTTCCACGCGTTCCGCCTCCCCCCCCCGCGCCTGGCTCGGTCCCGTGGCACCCCACGGCGGCCCACGCACGCGGTGAGGTTTCGCTCCGCCGCGGACCAAAAACCCAATGCCGTGTCGCGAGCCCCTGAGATTGGAGCCGAGGGAGGGGGTACTCCAGATCTCGTAATAAAAGGGAGGGGGTCTGGACCCTCCAAGACAAGCCATTTCAGACCCCCCCCGTGGGAGAACCCTCCAAAACATCGTCCCCAGACCCCCCCAGGCCTTCCAAGATAGCCTGGAAGAGACCCCGCCCCGAAATTTTATTACGACATCTGGAGTACCCCTCTTCCGCATTGTCGTGCATCCTCCTCCGCCCCTGCGTGCAGGGAGGCCGGCGAGAAACTCTTCTGCAGCGAGCCAGCGAGCACGCGAAGGCGGCAGCCTGGAGCGGGTGCGCCTCTCCTGCGCGCCAGCTTGCCTTTCCCACCCGCCTGGTCCACGATGCGCGCCCCGCCCAAGGCATGCGCGACGGTGCCGCTGCCTCGCCAGACGAAGGCGAGAACACGCGAGGATGAAGGGGCTGCTCTCGAATTGCTTTGTCGGCCTCGGTCGGGCGGGTGGGCAGCCAGGCGCCCTTGGCCCTCGTAGGGCCTTTGAGCGCCTCGCGCGCGCGCGATCGCGCTGGAAAGCTGCCCCTGGCAGGGCCCTGGAAGGCGGTCCTGGTGTCCGAAGCCACCCAAGACCAGACTCTCGCACACCAAAGCCTGGCGTCACGCCCGCCGCCCTGGGCTTTGGGCCCGACCTGCCGGAGACCGCGGGCCAATCCTTTTCTGCGGGCCTCCAGGAATGATGTTCTGGCACGATCTAGGATTGCCCTGAAGGAGACATTACTCTGATTGGCGGCGTCAGTCCGTTCTGGCACGTTTTTGACCTGTCAGGGCCCATGCGCCACGATGATCCGCAACATTCAACGAAACCCCAGGAACGGTAACAGGATTTTGACACAATTGTCTCCAAATCGGCCGTTGCCCGCAACAAAAGGGAACAGACAGGGAGGGTTGATGGCACCGTCGTTGATGCAACTTGGGTTCGCAGGAGTCCTCCTCCTCAACCTCTACTTCCCTTGGCGTCTAGAGGCTCCTCCTCCTCCCTCCGCCTCCTCCTCCTCGAGGCAGGGAGGAAGCGCCAGGGCGCTGGCGGCGCGGTTCCACCGCATTGTGTCGCCGGGCGGAGGCGCAGGCCCGGAACGCCGAAGCGCAGAAAGTGGCGCAGGCGAAAAACGTTGCGCCGCGGGGGGGAGACCTGGGCATGGCCGCCGCCGTCGTCGAGTTTGGGCGTGGGCCTGAGGAGGAGGAGGAGGAGGAGGAGGAGGAGGAGGACGAGGAGAAGGATGAGGAGGTGGAGGCGGAGGAGGAGGAGGAGAAGAAAGAGAAAGGAGCAAGAAGCAAGGAGTAAGTGCCGTCTAAGGCCTGCGCGGGGCGGCACCCAAAATATAACTACTGCTGTTTCGTGGCCCAGCGGACAGAAATCACACGGACAAATGGTGCCTCTGAGCCTGAACTTGCGCAAAGATCTGCCACCCGCCCAGACCACGCCCCAAACAGAATCTCTTCATTGATGCCTCGAACCTCATCCAGGGCCGTTGAGACGAACTGAGAGGTCTGTGATAATCATTCGCGACAGACGCCTGCCACGACGAAGCCTGCCACCTCGTGCCTTTTCCCGCCCATCATTGGTAAGGTTAGGTCGGGCATGTCCCCTTACAGGCGGATGTTGGACGAAAAAGTATAAAGTAATCCAAGAATGTACCGAAAAAGTGAAAAGTAGAAAAAATCGTCCCCCGATGATGTTGTAATTATTTTTGAATACTCTTCCTGTAGAGGGACACGCCCGATTTAAAATGGCAAGGCAAGCGGGCGGCATGTCCAGCCCGCCGCCACTTCCGCGGAACATGGGCCTCTCTGGCCCACTGCAGGACTGCTGAGCTCCTTGCCGAGGCCCTGCCTTTCCTTGTTGCTCCCCCAATCCGCGCTTGCACCGAAGGGATCCCAGCGGAGATTCGCAAAATTGGGCGAAATAAATGTCCCGCCGAGTTTGGTGGCCGGCTGGGTTCCCGGGTTCCCGGTTCCGGTCTCCCGGGTTCGTGGTTATTTGGTTCCGGACAGATCTCGGTGGGTTCCCGGGTTCCCGGGTTCCCGGTCGATCTCCTTATCGATCAAGCCATCCATTGATTTGTTTTTTCTCTGGCGTTGTCCTGCGAATCCGCTCCACTTGCGAGTCCTCTGGCCTCCGGCTACTTACACCCAACAATCCGTCTCTGCATTGCGTTTTGTGTGGCTTTGCTTGAACCTTCTGAGCTCTTCCACTCGCGGCGACCACTGTTCTGACGCCCAAAGGAGGACTGTGCCAGAGACAATGGCGCCGACAAGCCGCAGTCTCCGATCCACAGAGAGTAAGCGATTCAAAAGAAGCCTCTTGAGGGCCCATAAACGCCCTCTTGCCTGCAGCGATCCTGTTTGAGCCCCTCACCCGTCACATCCTCCAAAGACAGTCGGGCCCCGATAATTTCTAAACATTGCCATTGATTCAAACCTCCTCAGCAGACCCTCTTCAAGCATGACATGCACCCGTTGCAACTCCGTGAACACATTTGTCTACACCTTGCATTTCGCGGGGTGCAAAGACAGACCCCTCTGCAGAAACGCAATCTTCAACAACAAAGTCATCCGCTTCAAAGACAACCGACTCCTTGCAAACATCGTCTGGTCTTCCGCAAAAACTGAATAAGACGCGGCCCCTGGAACACATGGCCAATTGAGGTGCCGCGCGCCAAAACATCCTGCTGACATCCAACACTGCGCCGTCGAGGACCAGGTTAAACAGCACTGGAGACAGTGGGTCGCCTTGCCGCAATCCGCGGCCGACAATGCAGAATCTGCCTTCTTCCCCTGGCCACAAAAGTACAAAGCCTTTCGTTCACAAATGCCATCTGCGAGACGCCCCTACAACCAAGGCCCGTACCCCATGCTGCAATAATGCATCGAAAAGGGCTGCGTGGTGAAGACAGTCGAAGCCTTTCTCGATATCAAATGTGGCTACCCATAGCTTTTCACCCCGTGCAAAAGATTTCTCAACGACGGCCTGCGCGCAGTGTGAGTTGCATCTGCACGTTCTCGCCCGCGTCTGAACCCGAACTGTTCCTGACAAAATGGTTCGTCGTTACTGAGCGCAAACCTATTGTGTAGCACAGCGCTGAACAACTTTGCCATCACCGGGAGGATGGCGATAGGCCGGAAATCCTGAGGCAATACTGGGTCTCGCTTTTTGCATCAAAATCTGAGCTTGGTGACGACCCAGGCTTCTGGTGGATCCATGCGTCCCTGGAGGATCTGAGTGGAGAGCTCAACAATGATGTGCGCAAATGCCCCATGCTCAATTCTCAACATTTCCGCCACCAGCCCGTCATCAGCGCTGGTATTTCCCCGCTTGAGCTTCCGGATCGCTTCTAACAGCGCAGGATCTGTGACCACGTCGTCGTTCAGACTGCCCTGTAGGAGTTGTGATTCCTCGCTGTCAGTCTTCGGATAGAGATCGTCGTATAATGAAACGACATTTCTGATAGAGATGCTGGATCAATCTTGACATTGCCGTCCTTGTCCGGGACGCCAGTGGTGCGATCAGCTCCTTGGTGTTTTTGCTCCAACCGTCGTAGATTTCCTTGCAATGACTGGCTTAGAACCAAGCTCTCAATCTCCTTGTCTTGTCTCTGTCGGCGATCCCGACGCAACGATCGCCACAATTACTCTGGCAATCGTTTCCTCCTTTAAGGGTCAGCTTCTTCTCGGCGAGCATCCACCAAGGCCACTGCATCTGGGCTGTGGCGAGCGCGGGGTGTCCTCGAGTATGTCCCAGTACGTGAAGCCACCTCTGCAACTTTTCTGAAAGGATCTGGGAAGATCCCAACATTCTCCAAAGCATCGTCAAAGCCATCGCGGAAGCTGCTGGGATCCCCTTCGTGATTTAGTACTGGACTCCATCGTATGCGATTTCTGGCTTTCCTGATCCGTTTCCAGCACGGCCTCCCTTTGAAAACAACATCTGCGATGAAGGCCCTGAGGTCAGACTTACCATCAATGTCTGCGTAAACGCTCCAATCTTCAAATATGGTTGCTGCAATCTCGTCAGCAAAATGTAATCGATCTGCCGTTTCAACCCTGTGCTCCATAACTGATGCGTCCAATTCTCTTGAAGCCCCTTCTCGACGTGATTACGTGGTCACCGCGGACAACCGCATTCCGCACAACCATTCGACCAACACATCACCCCGAGGACACCTAGGCCCCAGGCCGAGGACGAGGAGGAGGAGGAGGAGAAGTGAGCGACGGCCCGTCCGCAAGTAATGCGAGATTGGACGCAGGAGGAGTCAGCATCGAATTGGCACATCGGAACGGATTGAAATGAGCATCGCGTTTCACAGAATAGGCACGGGCTGGGCATCGAATCGAATCGGCTGCGCCTGGATGCAGAACAACGCCATATAAACGTCGGACCGCATCGGATCATCGAAATATCGGAGAGAGCGTGATCCATCGCCGCTTTACTATGGAAAATTCCCACCCCTCTTCCTCCGGAACCCTGGGGTACCCCCTCCCTCCCCCCCCTCCCCGCTTCCCCCGGCAACCCCCCCCCCTAGAACTCCTCTCCCCCCCCTTCTCCGGAAAACCAGGGGGGGTCACTACCGGTTCGAACCCCCCTTCCCACCCACCTCCCAGAAAACCGAGGGTCACTACCGGATTGAACCCCCGTCCCCCCCCCTCCAAAAAACTGGGGGCGGGGTCACTACCAGTTCGACCCCCCCCCCCTTCTCGCCGCCGGCAGACGACCACCGCCCTCACAACTGTCCTCACCACCACCGTCCCCACCACTTCCCACTGTCCCCACTGTTCCCACCACCACTGTCCCGACGACTGTCCCCACCAATGCCCCCACCACTGTCGCACTGTCCCCACTGTCCCCACCACTGTCCCCACCACGGCCCCACTGTCCCCGCTGTCCCCGCCACGATCCCACTCTCCCCCCTGTCCCCACGACTGTTCCACTGTCCCCACTAAGACCGCCGCTGTCCCGCTGAGCTGTTCCAGTGTTCCCACCAAGGTCCCACTCTCCCCACTGTCCCCACCACTCTCCCCACTGTACACTGTCCCATTGTCTCACCACCGTCCTCACCACCGCCCTCACCACTGTCCCCGCCACCACCGTTCCCACCACTGTCTCACTGTCCCCACCACTGTCCCGGTGTCCCCTCACCACTGTCCCCACCACCACCGTCCCTACCACCGTCCCACTGACCCCACTGTCCCCACCAATGTCCCACTGTCCCCACTGTTCCCACTTCTGTCCCCACTTTCCCCACCAGTGTCCCCACCACTGTCGCACTGTCCCCACTGTCCCCACGACTGTCCCCACCACGATCCCACTCTCCCCACTGTCCCAACTGTCCCCACCACTGTTCAACTGTTCCCACTGTCCCGACCACTGTCCCACTGTGCTGCCCCACTGTCCCCACCACTGTCGCACTGTCCCCACTGTCCACACCACTCTCCCCACTGCACCACTGTCCCACCACCGTCCGAACCACCGCCCTCACCAGTCCCCACCACCACTGCCCCCACCACTGTTCCACTGCTGTCCCCATCACCACCGTCCCCACCCCCACCACTCTCGCACTGCCCCCACTGTTCCCAGCACTGTCCCCACCACGGTCCCACTCTTCCCACTGTCCCCACTCCCCACCACCATCCCCACCACCGTCCCAACCACTGTCCCCAGTAGTCCCCCGTCCGGAGTGGGAGAGGAGGGGGAAATGTTGCGGCGAGGGGGGAGGGGGGGGGGAGGGGCGGGGGGTTCGAACCGGTTTTCCAGGAGGAGGGGAGGGAGGGGAGGGGTTCGAACCGGTAGTGACCCCCCCCTTTTCACTATGGACCGGGGGGGGGAGGGGAAGGTTGGAACTCCCAGTGACCCCCCCCCCGTTTTCTCTTGGGGGGGGGAACGGGTTGGAAACCCCCAATGACCATCCCCCCGGTTTTCTGCCAACAACGGTAGAACACACTCTTTCAAATATCGGGCCGCCGCCGCTGAGTTGGGACGTGGATTACCGTCAAGCCCTAGCTCCCCTTATCTTAGAGGCCTCCAAATTGGGGTCGAGAAGATGGGGCCCGAGGATCGCCCAGCATCGCCGATGCATCGGCGATGCATCGGCGATGCGTCGGCGATGCATCTGCGATGCACCCATCAGCGGCGACGGTGACGCATCAGCGCCGTCTGCGTTGAGCAAGTCAGGCTCCACAGCGAGCCGCAGTGGCGAAGCATCGGCGATGAGGCGCGATCCTCCGACTCCATCAACTCGGACCTGATAGGGGAGGCCTACAGATGTGGGTTGGCGTCAAGAGCTGCCTCCCTATCAACTACAGCCGCAAAGCGCGACGCGGGTGACCGAACAGAGCCCGAACAGCAACCGAGAAGAGAGCTCGCCGCCGTCGAGAGAAGGCAGGGGAGAGGAGGAACGACAACCCCTGAAACCCGCGGGCGTTGCAACCGTTCACGCCGGTCGTCTTCGCCTAGTCGGTCCCCTGGACCATCACAGATCGAACAGGCTCGAGTAAAGCCGCAGAAAATGACATCTGCGGATCTGGTCGTGATCGTTCGCGATGTTGCAACTTTCGCAACGTCGGATCTCAGGGGAGGGCGAGGGGAGAGGTAGGAGGAGAACACGGGGGGGAGGAAGAGGAGGAGGAAAGGAGGACGGCGGAAAAGGACGAGCGGGAGAAAGGGGGTTAGGGGAAGGAGGAAGCAGGAGGGGCAGGAGGAAGAGGAGAACAAGAAGGAGACGCAGAGAGAAATGAGGAGTGGGAGGAGGCAGGGGGAGAAGAAGGCGGAGCAGGAGGAGGACGATGGCCCCCATCCGTCCCACTATTACAATCATCCGACACTCATCTGGCCCTCCTCCTCACCATCATCTCTCTTCTCGCCCTACACCCCCCTCTTCTTGTCCGAATCCTCTCCCTCGTCCTCGTCATCCTCATCGTCATCGTCCACCTTCTCCTCCTCCTCCTTCTCATCATCATCCCCATCTCCATCATGAATGTTTATCATCCCTCTACTTCTAACCGTCTCCGCTCCTCACCCATCCCGCATCATCTTCATTGCTCCGTAGCTTCACCCTTGCCCGAACATCATCTCATAATTGTCCTCCTCCTGCTCCTCCTCTTTCCCAGCCTACCCCATCCTTCAATTCTCAAATCCTTGAATATGCCCCTCCTCCCCCCTCCCCCACTATCTCTCTCTCTCTCTCTCTCATCTCACACACACGCACACCTGCCCTCGTAATCCTTTACGACTCCAGCCCATCCTTCTCCTCGCCCTTCCCTCCTTCTCGCTGGTGCGACGGCGCGCCTGCAGCTCGTCCAGATGCCCGCAGGATGACCTGGCCTGCGGAGGCGCGCAAGGGGGGGCGGCGGACGGACGCGCGCGCGCGCGCGCCCGGGCGAGCACGCCCACCCAGCGCCCGGGCTAAGAGAGGAGGAGGAAGAGGAGGAGAGGGAGGAGGAGGACCACTGTAAACCCAAGACTCAGCAACGGCGTTATGACACACCCTCCCTCCAAGCTCGGGTTCACTTCCACTGAGGGAAGTGCCCCGGTGGGAGACAACAGTGTGAAAATCCTGAGGCGTGCCAAAACACCATTCTCAGAACTTCAACGCCACGAACCAACCTGACTGTTGCGTCTTGACGTTCCTGAATCGTGCCAGAACGCCGTTCCTGGGTCTTCAACACCGCGCATCAACGTAATCGCTGCGTGATGGCATTCTTGAATCGTCGAAAACACCATGCCTGGAATGTTCACAATGAGAATCTGCAAAACTCCTGTACGTATTCAAAAGAGTGCGCGCGACGCTAAGGCGAGAGCCACATGTTGAAAACGAACCGCCCTTAATAATTACATGGAAACCTTGCATGTGTTGTAAGACAAGTGCGCGCGCCGCTAAAGCGAGCACCGCATTTCGAAAACGACACGCCCTCAATCACTGAACCCCTTGCAACTGTTTATGACGAATGTCCGCGACGCTCGGGCGAGAACCACGATTTGAAAACTACCCGCCATCAATCCGTGAAACGCGTGCCATTGTTTAAAAACGAACGCGCCCAACGCTAAGGCGAGAGGCACCTTTTGAAAACGACCCGCCCTCAACCCGTGAACACTTCTTACAACTGTTAAAACTGATTGGCGCGGAGCTAAGACCAGAGCCACATGTTGGAAACGACCCGCACTCCTTCTGTGAAACGCTGGCCAAAGTCTGAGCTTCAGGCTCAGAAGTGGTGAGAAAGACCTCAGGCGAAACGCCCGGCCAGCCCGTGCGACTGGCCTGGTGGTCCGACATGCATGAGTTATTTGTACGGAAAGGGTATTGAGGAGGAGGAGGAGGAGCAGGAGGAGGAGGAGGCGAGATCCAGGTGGGAGGAAGCGAGGTCCAGAAGGAACAGCAAGAGGAGAAGGAGGAGGACGAGGCTCCTCCATCTCCTCCTCCTCCTCCTCGTTTTCCTTCTCCTCCTCCTCCTCCTCATCATCATCATCATCCCACTCCTCCTTTTCCTCCTCCCGATTCCACCTCGCCTCACCCCCCGCTACCTCCTGCTTATCCTGTTCCTCCTGCTCCTCCTGCTCTTCCTTCTTCTCCTCCTACTCGTCCTCCTCCTCCTCCTCCTCCTTCTCTCCGTGTCGAGGCGCACGTTGAGGGGGGGAGGAGGAGGAGGAGGACGAGGACGAGGATGAGCAGGAGGAGGAGGAGGAGAGGGAGCGAAAGAGAAAAAGAGAACAGTAAAGAGAAGGAGAGCGAGAGGGAGAGAGACCCCCCTCCCCCGCCTCCTCATCGGTCCTCCTCCTCATCCTCCCGGTCCTACTCCTCCTCCTGGTCCTCCTCCCCTATTCCTGAGATCCGACGTTGCAAACAACATGCAACGTCGCGAACAACTCACAACCAGAGCTCTAGACCTCATCTTCCTGCGGCATTGACCGGGACAACTCACTATGCGATCGTCCCGAGGCCCGATAAAAGAGGAGAACGCCACGTGCGATTAAATCGCAACTCTCGGGTCTCAAGAATCCACCTCATCCTCATCCTGCTCTCGCGTCAGTCTGCTCCTCCTCCTCCTCCTCCTCCTCTACCTCCTCCTCCACCTCCTCCTCCTCCTCCTTCTCCTCCTCCTCCTCCTCCCCCTGCCACCTCGAAAGGGGCCGAGGCCAGGGGGCCTCGGCGAGCAGCTCCCACCGGAAGCAGAGGGTGGCCACCAGCAACTTGCTGGCCTCCTGTAGCAAGGTGACCTTTCCGCGGCGCCGCCGTCACCGTGGCCCTCGTCGTGGTTCGTCGTCGTCGACGTCCTCCTCCTCCTCTGCCTCCTCACCCTAAAAATCCCCTGTCTTCCACCCCTGCTGTCAATACACCACCTCCTTCTCCAGCTGCTCCACCGTGTTCCTCCCGTCTCCTCCTCCTCCTCCCCTCCTCTGTCTACCACGGAATCGTTCCTCTCCTGCCGCTCCTGGTCGTCCCCCTCCTGCTCCTGCCTGTGGCCCTGCTCCTCCCCCCTCTCGCCCACCTTGCTGCACACCCTCCTCCTGATCCTGCGGGCCCAGCTGCTGAACAGAGGGAGAGAGAAAGAGATGAAGAAGAAGGCAACACAAGCAAACAGACAAACACACAAACAAACCAACATAAATAGCCAGACGAAGGGCCCAACCACATTCGGCTATGAGTGCCGCCGTTGTGAACTTCTATGAAGCTCCCTGTTGGGCCACGACGCGTGTGATAAGTGTGCCAAACTGGGCGAGGAGCCGCATGTGGCCGAACCCACTGGAGCCTTGGGTGGAGCTCCGTGGGGCCACGCGCACACGCGCACACGCGCACACGCGCACACGCGCACACGAGCACACGCGCACACGCGCACACGCGCACACGCGCACACGCGCACACGCGCACCCGCGCACACGCGCACACGCACACGCACACGCACGCGCACACGCGCAAACGCGCACGCGCACTTGCGCAATTGCGCACACGCGCACTTGCGCACTTGCGCATGCGCGCACGCGCTCACGCGCGCACGCGCGCACGCGCGCACGCGCACACGCGCACACGCTCAAACGCGCACCCCCGCACCCGCGCACACGCGCACACGCTCAAACGCGCACCCGCGCACCCGCGCACCCGCGCACCCGCGCACCCGCGCACACGCGCACACGCACACACGCGCACACGCGCACACGCGCAAACGCGCACACGCACACGCGAACACGCACATGCACACGCACACGCGCAAACGCGCACGCGCACTTGCGCACCTGAGCACTTGCACACACGCGCACTTGCGCACTTGCGCACACGCGCACTTGCGCACTTGCGCACTTGCGCACTTGCGCACTTGCGCACTTGCGCACTTGCGCACGCGCGAACACGCGAACACGCGAACACGCGCACACGCGCACCCGCGCACCCGCGCACCCGCGCACCCGCGCATACGCGCATACGCGCACACGCGCACACGCACGCACGCGCACACGCGCACACGCGCACACGCGTACACGCGCACACGCGCACACGCGCACCCGCGCATACGCGCGTACACGCGCGCACGCACACGCGCACACACGCACGCACGCACCCACGCACACGCGCACCCGCGCATACGCGCCCGCGCATACGCGCACGCGCGCCCGCGCACGCGCACACGCGCGCACACGCGAAAACGCGCACACAAACACACACACACACACACACACACACACACACACACACACGCACGAACGCACGCACGCACGCACGCACGCACACACGCACACACGCACACACGCACACACGCACACACGCACACACGCACGCACGCACGCAGCACACACACACACACGCACACACACCACACACAGCACACGCAGCACGCACGCACGCACACAAACACAACACACACACAACACCACACACACGCACGTACGCACGCACCTACGCACGACGCACGCACGCACGCACGCACGCACGCAGGCACATACAAGCCACACACAGACACAACACATACACACACACCACTCACACACACACGCACACACACACACACACTGCACACGCACGCACGCAAGCACGCACCAACACACACACACACACGACACGAACGCACGCACGCACGCACACACACACACGCACACAGACACACACACACACAGCCACACACACACACACCGCACACGCACACGCACGCACGCACGCACGCACACAAACACACACACACACACACCACGCACGAACGCACGCACGCCACGCAACGCAACAGCACGCACGCACATACGCACACACACAGACACCACACACATCACACACACACACGCACACACACACACACACACACACACACACACACGCACGCACGCACGCACGCACACAAACACACACACACACACACACGCACGGACGCACGCACGCACGCACGCCGCAAGCACGCCGCACAACACACATACACACACACGCGCACACACGAACACACACCACACACACCGCACACGCACGCACGCACGCCGCACACAAAACACACACACACACGAACGCACGCACGCGACGCACGCACGCAACGCACGCACATACGCACACACACAGACACACACACATACACACACACCACACACACACGCACCACAACACACACACACACACACACACACACCGCGCACGCACGCACGCACACAAACACACACACACACACACACACGCACGAACGCACGCACGCACGCACGCACGCACGTACGCACGCACATACGCACACACACACAGACACACACATACACACACACACACACACGCACACACACACACGCACACACACACGCACACACACACACACACACACCGCACACGCACGCACGCACGCACGCACGCACGCACACACACATACACACACACAAACTCATGTGTGGTAGAGGTCGCGGCCCCCGCGGCCCGGGCCCCACGACAAAGGCCCCGGTGCGCCGTTATATGTATATTCCTTCTCCTCCTGACCGCCCTCGTCGCCTGGCTGACGATCCAAAGAGTTCCCGAAGTGCTCCCCCCTCTTCATCCTCGGCATCCTGGACGTCCTCGCTCGTCATCCCCCTCCTCCTCCTCCTCCTCCTCCTCCTCCTCCTCCCACTCCTCAGCATCAGCATCGGCATCAGCATCATCATCATCATCAGCATCATTAGCATCATCAGCATCATCATCATCATCAGCAGCAGCATGAGCATCATCGTCAACATCACCATCATCATCATTATCATAAGCAGCATCATCATCATCAGCATCATCATCAGCTTCAACACCATCATCAAGATCGTCATCATCAACAGCAGCATCAGCAGGATCAGCAGCATCAGCATCAGCATCAGCATCAGCATCAGCATCAGCATCAGCATCAGCATCATCATCATCATCATCATCATCGTCAGCATCATCATCATCTTCACCATCTTCATAATATTCATCATCTTCATGGTCTTCCTCCTCTTCGTCTTCAACATCACCACCGGCATCATCATCTTCACCATCTTCATCATATTCATCATCTTCATGGTCTTCCTCCTCTTCGTCTTCAACATCACCACCGGCATCATCGTCATCACCAATACGCTTCCCCCTCCGCACCCGTGCCTCCCTCCCGACCTCCCCCTCCTCCTCCTCGCCACCCGCCCCTCAGCGGGGAGAGGCACGGTGCACGGAGCAACAGGAGGAGCCCCCCGCTGCCCCAGGGCAGCCAGCGGCGCGTGGAGAGAGCGCCGCGCTCGGGCGGGCGCCCACCGTCACGTACTCGAAGCCGAACGCGGGGCGTCCGGACCGCTGTGCGTCCTCCGAGCGCTGCGGCGCATCCCCCCCTCTTCCTCGAAGACTCGCCCCCCCCACCACGCCCACACAACACTCCTCCTCCTGCTCTTTCTCCTCCCCCTCCTCGCCTTTGTCTCCTCCTTCCCCCTCCTCCTTCCCCTCCTGCCGCCCTCTTCTCCCAAATCCCCTTCCTATTCCTCCACCTCCTCGTCCTGCCCCGCCTCGCCAATCTCTCCTCCTTCTCCGCCATCCCTCTTTCTGATACATAACCCCTTCCTGTCGCGCGCCCAGGTGTGTCGGTAGGACGGACCGGACGCTTCGCCTGAGACTCCACCTTTTACTCAAGATCGTGAAGATTGATCGAGGGTAAGTTGTGTTCAATATGTGGCTCTCGCCTGCGCGCCGTGCACATTTGTTTCAAGAACTTACAGCCGATTAAACGATGGAGGGCGGGTGGTTTGAAAAACTGGAGTTGTCGCTTTTGTGCCGCGCGCATTCGCGTTCACCGTTTGAAGCATGTTCAAGGATGGAGGGCGGGCGGTATTCAATCAACATGTGGTTGTCGCCATGGCGCCACGCCCATTCGGTTTACAGTTCGCAACAATGTCATAGATGGTGGGAGGTGGCTTTCAAACGGTGGGTCTCCTTTTAAATGCGGCGTGTCCTCGTCCTAAATCGTTGCTACAACTTCAAATGCGGATGGCAGATCTGTTTCAAACTGTGGTTCTCGCATTAGCGCCACGCACACTCTTCTAAACTGTTGCACCAACTTGAAAGTCGTGAAGCTGCAATCCCATGAACGGCGCTCTGGTACGATTTGGCATTCCCGAAACGCATTTACCGAATTGATTCGCAACGCTGAAATCCCACGAATGCTATCTTGGCACGATTGAAGACTCTCAGACGGTAATCTTGCGATGGGGCAAGTACCGCCCTGGAACGTCGTTCCGGGAGAAAGACCCAACAGCATGCAGGTGTGAGCACCGCAATATGAAAAACATGGCACAATCCCTGTCGACACTGAACCACACGAACCTGACCCATGCAAGCTAAACAAACACCAGGCTTGCAACCATTGATTTTACCATCGCTGGGGCGGCCGGCACTGAGGCGAGGGCACCCATCGTAGCCGTGGATGCGGTTGGCGCTGAAGTCAGACTGACGCTCTCAATGATGGATGTGGCCAGCGTTGGGACGAGACAAAGTCCACACTCATTGATGCAGCCAGCGAAAAGGTGACAACACAATTCGCAATCATTAATGTAGACGGCGCTGAGGCGATAGCCAATTTCGCAATCAAAGTTGTAGCCGGAGCTGTGGCCAAAACAATAGTCGCAGTAGTGGGTGTGGCCAACGAAAAGGCGAAAGCATCCCTCGCAGTCGTGGGCGAGGTGTCGCACTGCACACGCGCACAGGTTTTACTGCAACAAGCAGCAACACCGAGACGAGCACCACTAGAAACATCAGCACCATGCGCAGCAGTAGCAGCGCAAGCAGCGCGAGCGACATCAGCAGCAAACGTACCAGCAACCACAGTACCAACCAGATACCAACCAGCAGCGCGAACGACCTCTTTAACCAACCAGTACCAACAGGTACCACCGCAAGCACCAGCACCAGCGACACTAGCAGCGAACGTACGACGACGACGACGACGACGGGAAACAACAACACCACGCAACGCAGCAGAAACGTTCCCAGCAACGGGACGAGTCGGGTTGGGCGGACCCAAACGGGCGGGTCGGGTCGGGTCGGGCGGACCCTGACGGGCGGATCGGGTCGGGACGGGTCGGACGGGCGGGACATGAAAAGATGACGCATGTGCGAGTGGACACGCTTGAACCCTAGCGGGTCGGGTCGGGACGGGACGGGACGGGCGGACTCAAACGGGCTGATCGGGACGGGTCGGGTCGGACCCTAACGGGCGGGTCGGGGCGACTCGGCGGGACATTGAAGTATGATGCGTGTGCGAGTGGACACGCTAGAACCCTAGCGGGTCGGGTCGGGAAGGGACGTGTCGGGCAAACCCGAACGGGCGGGCTGGGTCGGACCCTAACGGGCGGGTCGGGTCGGGTCGGCGGGACATTAAAGCGTGATGCATCAACGAAAAGATGCGCGAAAACCATGCGGGATCGGGTCGGGACGGGACGGGTCGGGCGGACCCTAACGGGCGGGTCGGGTCGGGCGGACCCTGACGGGCGGGTCGGGGCGGGTCGGGCGGACCCTAACGAGCGGGTCGGGGTGGGCGGGCGGGCCATTAAAGTATGATGCGTTGAACCCTGACGGGTCGGGTCAGGACGGGACGGGTCGGGTCGGACCCTCACGGGCGAGTCGGGTCGGGTCGGGCGGACCCTGACTGGCGGGTCGGAACGGGACGGGTCGGACCTTAACGGGCGGGTCGGGTCGGGCGGGCGGCCTAGGGGAATAAGCCCAGGGTGTGCCTAAGGGAACGGCCTAGGAATAGACCTAGGTTGACCTAGGGGGAAGACCTAAGGGCAGGCGTAGGGTAGCCCTAGGGGGTAGATAGGCCCAGGGTAAACCTAGGAGGAAGGCCTCGGGGTAGGCCTAGGAGATAGGCATTGGGGGAAACCTAGGGTGGGCTTGGGGGGTAGGCCTAGGGGGTCGGCCTAGGGTGGGTTTGGGGGGGTAGGCGTAGGGGCAGGCCTAGGAGGAAGGTTTATGGGTAGGCTTAGGGGTAGGCCTAAGGGGCAGGCGTAGGGGTAGGCCTGGGGTAGCACAACGACACCAAGCAGGATCACCAAGACCACGAGTACCAGCGCCACCACCACTACTACTATGACGAGCGCGACGGGGAGCAGCATCACCACGCGAAGCAGCACCAGCGCCATCAGCAACACCACTGTAGCCAGCACGGCGGGAAACAGCAACACCACGCGCAGCACCGCTAACGCAACTGGCAATTCCACAGGACACAACACGACGGAAAACAGCTGCGACAGGCGATTCGCGCTGGACCGCGCGATCGCCCCCACCCCCCCGCCGGCCAGAGACGCATAAACCCCGGTATGTCGCCCGGTTCGCCTGCCAATCGGGGAAATGAGCTGGTTTGAAGCCTTCGAACAAAACGCGTTAGTTACACCCGGCTGGTGAACAGAATGCGACAATAACCGAGAGGAAATCGAAGTTACACTTACTGAATGCAGTGAACTGAGCAATGGATGCAGCGAAGCGACCGTTTGTTGGATTACGACATAACGCCTGCACAATCCGAGAAAAAATGTTCGGGAATGGATTTCGCGCTCGCGTGGGGGCCACGTTCTTCGCGGCGCCGCCAGTAGGGTTGCACCGGTACCTTGCGCGAGAGCACGACGTACAGATTTAGTCCAATGCGCGCGGCCGTTTCTGTTCCATTGCTGTGCGTGGCCTTGCGTTGCATCGCGCGCGGTTGCATTGCAACGCGTCGCATTATTTGCGCGCGCACACATACCACCACGCACACACGCACGCGCACCACCAACCACTACGCAGGCGCGCGCGCACACACACATACACACACACACGCACACACACACACATACACACGCTGCCGCCACCACCACCACGCACGCCACCACGACGCGCACATTCTACCCTATGGCCCTGCCAGACGCAGCCCTTGTCGGAGCCACAATGCCGCTGCGAAACGCGTCCGCGGATAGAGAAACAGCAGCGCCATTGTAAGGGATGGTAGGGAGAGGTAGGACGTCAGCTATGACGCGAGCGCATCTGGCTCGACTTCCCCCCCTCCCCCTCGCATTGAAAGATGTTCAAGGGCTCGCTCATCGGCCGAGTCCAGACAGCGCGACGAACCGTGGCCACGTCGACGTCTGCGGCGTCGCCAGATGGGGGGCCAGCGGTGCTGCGTGCACTCGGCGCTCCAACTCCTGCGTGATTGGTTGGTGGCGCGTCGCGCGCGGGCGCCCCCGCATGCTTGCGCGTTCGCGTCGGAATGGTGTTCTCCCCGCTCGGTGGCCACAACGTGCTTCGGTATTCAAGAGGCTCGCAACATTCCGCCGACCCGAAGGAAGGTGTTTTAATGTCATGGTATTGTTGTTTGGCGATGCGTGTCTGGGCAGGAGCGCCGCGCGGTCAGTCATCCCCGGCCACAGCCATGGCAAAATACCTTCCCAAGCGCGGTTAGAACGCATTCCCGATATTTTCCACAAAACATATTCTGGCTGCTTGGCGGAGCGACCCCTGCTTCCCAAACGAGGGTTCGGACCGTGAGTGGTATTAGCGAGGCGAGTCTGGACGCGCATCGCCATGTCTTCGACGGGGCGAATTGATTGCAAGCGGGGGCCCCGTGGGCCCAGGGTAGCCGGATTACAACTTTCGCGTCTTAAAAAGCGAGACTATCGGCTTTTTTAATGTTTCCGGCGCCGAGAGTTTCGTGGCACTCTCAAGCCGTGAGAGTCGCGCGGATGTGCTGACCGCCAACGGTTCCGTCGCTTCGTGAGACCCTTTGAGTCGCTCGGATGCGTTCGGCGCCGAGTGTCTCCTGGCATTGTGGAACCCATTTACACGCGCGAGTGCGTTCGGCCCCGAGGGTTTCGTGGCACTGCGAGGCCTTGTGGGTCTTGCGGATGTGCTCGGCGCCGAAGGTTTCGGGGTACTAAGAGACCCTGCAAAACGCGCGAATGCGTTCGGCGATGAGAGTTTGGTGGCACTGTGAGACCACGTGAGTCGCGCGGATGTGCTCGGCTCCGAAGGTTGCTGGCCATTGTGAGACCCTTTTTAAAGCGCACGGATGCGTTCGGCACCGAAGGTTTCGTGGAATTGCGAAGCCATGTGGGACTCGCGGATGGGCTCGGCGTCGAGGCTGTGGGGGGCGACTTGAAAGCCTTGAAGACGCGCGACTGCGTTCGGCGCTGAAGGTTTTGTGGCACTGCGAGGCCACGTGGGGCTCGCGGATGTGCTCGGCGCCAACAGTTTTGGGGCGATTTGAAGCCCTTTGAAGCGTGCGACTGCGTTCGGCCCAGAGGGTTTCGTGGCACTGTGAGACCGCGTGAGACTCACGGATTTGC